AAGGGGTCTTCTTGACCAGGGATTAGGCGTCCTCCTTTTCCAGGACACGCCCTACATTCTCTGTCACCTTTTGTCCAGGGAGCAATGCGAAAAGGTCCTCTATTTTGAACATGACTAAGAAGCATGAATTTACATTTCAAGGAGTATTTTCAGCTTTCCTTTTGGAAGGGCCTCCATTTTTCTTGAATGTCCTCCGTTTCAACCTTCTTCCGTCCAGGAGGAAATTGAAAAATGTCCTCCATTTTAAGCATGACTAAGAAGCCTGGATTTATCTCTCTATGAGTGCCACAACAAACTCCCATTCCCAGAATTCCATAGCGGGGAAATCCTGGCAGTTCATGTTTGTTGCATTCCTTCAAGTCTTTTCCAATGTATGGCGACCCTAAAGCGACTCTATCACAGGGTTTTCTTGGCAAGATTTGTGCAAAAGAGGTTTACCATTCCCTTCCCCTGAGGCTGAGAGAGTGTGCCTTGCCCAAGGCCATCCAGTGAGGAGATTGGGGTTCCCAGCCTGCTCTCTGCCCCACAGCCCTAGGAAAGGTTGGAGGAAGGTTCACATCTCTGGCAAAAAGTCCTCTTACTTTTGACAAGGAAACAGTCATGCTTTCTAAATGTTTGAAACGCCTCCAAAACGGAGGGTGAAGGGACTGAACTCTTCAAAAAATAAACTTTTCATTCACTCAGGGCATAAAATGGACATCTGAATGGAGCCATTAGAATTAGATCCTAATTTAGTCATTTAAAAAAAAAAAGGAGTGATGACTCAGGACTTGTCCTTCTAGGACAGGGGTAGGCAACCTTTTTGAGCCGGGAGCCGGGTTGCTGTCCCTCAGACAATTGATGGGCCGAAGCACCAAAAATAAATAAATAAATAAATAAAAATTAAAATTAAAAAAGAATTAAAAAATTAAAAAAATGCATGCACACTCTCTCAGCCCCAGAAAAGCCATGGCAAAACTCCTGTGAAGATTTTGCCAAGAAAACCCCAAGAACAAGTAATAACAACAATAATCACTATCATCATGGGGGGGCGGCGGCGGCAGGACCGGTTTGGGGCCGGTCCAAAGGCCTTGTTGGGCCGCATCCGGCCCCTGGGCCTTAGGTTGCCTACCCCTGTTCTAGGACATCAGACCCTCTTGGGCTCCATCTGCACTGCAGAAATTATTGTTGCATCCTCTGTTACTTTTGGCAACCCCATGAATTTTGTAGGGTTTTCTTAGGCAAGGAAGACTCAGGAGTTGTTTTC